TAATATTCATCAAGGTGAAATGAAACAGATGTGCTAGGACAATAGTTGAATTCTTTTCTCTTTTTTCCTGATCTTTTCTCTTTTTTCCTACACGCTTACGCCAAAAAATATAAAAAATTACGTCTTTTTTGTAGCGCAGACAAAAAAGTACGTCTCACTCGTGTAAAGAACCGGAACAAGAGATTTTATCGAATTTCATTTTAAAAGAAACTGAAACGAAAAAATTAAGGAGAAACTCTGCACAGTTATTCACAACATCAGAACGATCTTAACAGAAAACCAAAAAACACCGGTACTAGAAAAATACCCTTCATCATGCTTTATGATGCTGTCCTCTGAAAGGACCAGAGGTGCGTGTTCGTGAGAAGCGACATCGTTTTACCCGGTCGAAACTGGATCTCGTAACCGTTCACGCGACCTGTCTTCCTGAGCTGCGATAATTCTGCTTCGGTCCATGAATGCCGTGTTAATGCTCCGGAACGAGCTCGGCCAGTCTCGTCTTCCCAAATTAACGAAACTATTCGATTTGACTGTTCACGAATTATTGCCTGTTTCACAATTTCCTGTAATAACTCACACATACACTTTTTTTTTAAAGTCCCATAGCTGATTAAGTACTTCATTGCGACCTAGGAGCGGTAACGCCTGCGACGAGGTGCTGATGTTTAACACAAAAACAGGACTTCTTAAAATGAATGACCAAAATATTTCGGGAAAACTGTCAAGCTAAGTACTTTGTTCACAAGAAGAAACAAACATCAACAGGCTGTCCATAAAACAGTACAATACTGCTCAAAGTAACTGGAAAGTTGAACAGAACTGCAACGAAAGACGAACCGGATTATCGTTCAGATGAAATAGTAACTGGGTATTACCAGCTTGCAGTAACAACAGATAATCGAGGCTCGAAACATTGAATAATGCTTCCAGTTTACTGACTGCCAAGCTATCATATGTAGCATTTGTAACAAAATGGATCTAAAAAATAACCAAATAACCCCATAACATTATGCAGAAAAAAATCAAGACTCGCATCGTAAAGCGAAGATAAACGCTCTATGGTATGCGGCGGATCGTCAAATCGAAAAGCCAGGAAGAGCGGGAAGGGCGCTGCATGCAGTATGCTCCTTCCAGCGGTTTGATACTTTACTCTGGCAAATTTAACTGAAACTATCGCATTCGCATGGAAGTACAATGTGCAGTTCTGCAGCTAAACCCCTTGCAATCATCCACATTTTCATTCTACCTTAGCGCTCCCAGGATAAACAAAATATTCTACCATCCATTTATCAGAGACTGCAATTTCACATGAAATTTCTTCCCATTGTGAAGTAAGACATTCATGAGCGAACAGCTTTTTTTACGACACTCAAAATCCTTATGTTTTCATATACAATATTATGTATTAACTACAAAGTACTAAATTTTGCATAACCGCTTGCAGTATAAGTAAATTCGTACAAGAATGTGACTGTTAAAAATAGATCAAATTAACATGATAACTTCGACATTTCAATTTTATATAATATTCAAAAGTTTGAATCCCTTCTACATTCACTCACTATGAAGACGAAAGTGCCCGGACGGTAGCAACTGGTTGTCAATCGCTCCCCATTTTGAAAACTGTTTAGAAACAAGCTGATAGTAGGCTTGATTCGCTGATATGCATTAGTACTTTTTTTTAGCAACTAACGTTGAGGGACTGGCTGCCTCAGACTTTTGAATACTATATAAAATTGAAATGTCGAAGTTATCATGGCGAAGCCGAAGTCTTAATCCCCAGCACGAGAGCAGCGCTACAAAGCGCATATTTAATCAGACAAATTAACTCACTTGTGTAGGCAAAGTTGACAGATTCACAGCAATGTTGAGCAAAGAGCTGTGTTTGAGCAGTGCATTAAAGGCATCCAATTTCACATCATCGGCAGTGGAATGTCCAACTACTTCAAACTGCAATTCGTTTTAATTAATGATTTCTCGGACGATTATAATTTGTCTGAATTGATGCGAAGCATCAAAACTAATAAATGTAGTCATATTCCGGGCTACATTAATTCAATGCTATGTTGTTATCAAATTTAAGCAGCACTATTAGTATTATTTCACCAGCGAACAGTAGATGAAAATAAAGATTCTGCTGAACATTTTAAAGACCAAAGCCTAAGATGAAGACATTTCGGTCCATTGATCTGCGCAGGTCTCACCTCAACGCCGCAAATGCATCTCGTCAGTAAAACGATTGTGGCATAATTATTTAATAAGTAAAAGAATTGTGGAGAATAATGTTTTATTATTATGAGCAGCGTATCTGTAAAGTGCTGAGAAAGCAAGTAGAGAACTTTCTTGCCTTAAGTTGTAAACTCTTTTCCCCTGCCAGATAATTTAAGTAACTAATATAATAAGTTAAAGAAGGCGCAAAATTCAAAACAGTTGAAAAAGAAATACTGTAACAAACCTTATGGGGTGAGTGCCTTGAAAGTATCATGCCACGGAATCCAACCGAATCGCTACTACTATAAGATGCTTTATAATAAGGAGCATGAAAGAACGGTGGTGTGGAGGAAGAAGCAGGAAGAAGCAACGGCGAAGTGGCCGTTAGAAGTTGCCTAAAGTGTGTAGTTTTTTGAAACACTGAGCAAAAAGCTGAGCACAGCACATGGTTCCAGCTGACCGCACAAAGCTCTGCCGGAACATTGAGCAGGCGATGTATGTTGGGATTCCGATTCGGTTTCTGCATCACTGGCAGCACTTGCGAGAGCGTAAACCCACTCATTTCCATCCATCGATCCAAATCTAGAATTTTTTTAAAATTATGAGCTCTGCACCTATTGACACTGACATCTTAACAATACCAAAACATCTTGAGAAAGTAGTGTAACCGATAGCATTTCTTATTACTGACCAAAGGACCCCAGTGAAACGAGGCATCTTAAAAAAGTAGCATACCTCACACAACGTCTTAGTTCTTTTTTAAGACAAATAAAACTCGACAAAAATCAAGATCCAGAGGCTCAAGAAATTAAAAAACCAACGCTTCCAAGTCAAATTTTCGAAAGTTTTCAATCTTCCACATCCAGTACATGCCATTTTCGCTTTTTTTTCCATCGACTAACATGCTTAACGGATGAAAAAGCATCAACAAACAGAGTCTTACCAAGGGGGAAATTACGCAGCGTATTTGCCTGGGTTGGTTTTGCACGAAATGGATCTGCTTCAAATTCTGGAGCGAAGACGTCCAATCGAGAAGTAGCAAATGTAATCGGAACCGACATAAATCGTCCAGCATACGTATCGTATGGTCGCGCTTCCGGACCCATGATTACGATTCCGATTACTGAATCTTCGAACTGCTGTCGATATCCAAGTGGGAAATAGAATGTGTCGGTGCGATTTGTAATTGTTGCACCAAGTGGACTATGGATGATTTCTTTCACGGTATTTCCGTCTGGTGCGAAAATGAAGCGCACTGAGCCATCGCCATCCAAAAACAGCGCATAATATTTGCCATCGCTGTATACGGCAAACGGCGCATCTGCTTCGTCATATAGGATTGTAGACAGTGATTCGCCTGCCCTGAAATTAGTGACGTGAATTTCGATCCCAATAAAAAACGCTTTAACGCATATGTGAACTGAAATATATCCACCGTGGTACGTTTGGACTCCCAGGCCTGCGCCAGTATCTCTTTAGTTTTACGGCGAACATTCGATGGCTTGCACAAAAGCGTGTACTGGAGAGATATTGCCTACTTCAGTTTTATTCGTTGTAGCCCCACATTAAAATTGCTGATATTAACGATTACCATTCACTTTTAAAGCTATTATTTTTGATCTGTATTAATAACATTAACTAACCTCGTCCAGTTACTCATTTTGATATTTTGTTCAGCTGCAATTCGTGGTGTGGTTCTATAACTATACAGAACGCAACTTTCCCAGTCGCTTTAACTAAATTGCCGGGTGTTTTCGCAGTTAATGATCTTGTTTTTCATTCAGCCCCCTGACAAAATTACAGCGCAAGATTCTCATGAGAAACACTTGTTAAGGCTTTAATGTCAGTGAAATTATTCAGCATCGCTGTTTCATCCTAAGCTACGCCACTCGTATGTCATGATGGAATACCTGTTTCAGACAGGTTAAATTTACTACTTTCATAGGGTACTGTTATCGCAATATCAAAAATTTGCTGTCATTAAAGCGCTAATTAAGTATTTTGCCAAAAAAAAACCATGTAAACACACTCCCCGCCTTTTGACTTACTCAGACCGTTTGCTCATCGATCCTCCTAATATTACGTGTAGTGTTGTGAAAGCAAAAAATGGAGCTAATCCAGTTAAATGTTCACTACAATTGGTACTAGCCCAGTAATTTCATCTGGCCTCGGTTCAGAAAGGATGTTTACTTTTAGACAGACATAAATCTTACCTAGCATAATGCGTGAGAAGGTACGGTCGGTCGGGGAATGCATAAAAGAAACGGAAGAAGTATTCCTCGCCAACTCGTCTCCAGATTAGGCGTGACTGATCGTCATAACCGTAGGCAATATCTACCACTCCTGCCCTATAAGCACGCTGTACACGCCCATATACGTCATATTCGAAAAATGTATCGCCCCGTCGCGCAGTCCAGCCGTTTCCATCTATCGCATAATCAATCTAAAATGAAATTCACACATTTCATGTATTCCACCACGAATTTTTAACCATATAAGTAACACCAAAATTGCCCAAATATTCTATGCGAATTCCCATATTAGTGACGATATTCGGTTGCTCTTGTACGTTGGGCAAAGCTAGCACTCATGGCTGGTTAAAAATATGTGCACCGTCTCTTCAGAGGTCGCACAAGTGACCACTGATCACACAAGCATCAGTTATCAGCATGTCTTCTCCACCACATTTTATATTCTAGCGTGGTGTCAATTATTACGCCTTGCCTGATAGT